TAAGTGGCTTGCCTAACCTTGTGTTGGGGACTCTTCCCTTAGGATGTTTGATATTAATTGATGTGTGGGTGCCGTGTACGTGAGGTGACGAGTACGTACACGGGCTATTATTGCAAAAATCACGTCTTTCCTTTCTAAATCATAAACCGTTTTCCCTTATTAAATTGTACTAATACGTTTAATTGTTTAGCTTAGATTAGAGAAGCATGCTTACGTGTTTTAACTGCCTATTTGACATTCTGTGCGCCATGCTTAGTTAAGTCCCTACTTTTCTTATCTGTGTTCTGTATAAACTGTATAACTCGATGCCTTACCCGTCATTTCATCTTGTGTTGCATATTTAAATTGGGACTACGAACGTATTCCGGAAGATCCCCCCGTCTTGCATATTTATTTTGGGACTACGGATGTATTCCGGGAGATCCCCCAGCATTGCATATTTACTTTGGGACTACGGACGTATTTCGGGAGATCCCCCAGCATTGCATATTTACTTTGGGACTACGGACGTATTTCGGGAGATCCCCCAGCACTAAATATTTACTTTGGAACTACGGACGTATTCCAGGAGATCCCCTTGTACTGCATATTCATTCGGAACTACGGGACGATATCCAGGGAGATTTCCCATTGTGTTTACCTTGTTTTGAGCCGAGAGCTTCCTTAACTGTTAAATTTTAGAGAATTTCTTTAACCGTGTTAATGTAAATTTTATTTATATTTTTTACTATTTAATTTATTATATTTACTCCGGTAGGATCTTGACCTGACCTCGTCACTACTCGACCGAGATTAGGCTTGGCACTTACTGGGTACCATTGTGGTGCACTCATGCTACTCTCTGCATATGTTTTTTTGTGTGTGCAGATCCAGGTGCACCTTATCAGCCGCACTATCAGTGAGCCGGGACAATTTTGGAGACTTCAAAGTATATCTGTCGCGTCCGCAGACCTCGGAGTCCCCTTCTACTCTTTCCCATATCCATTATCTTCTGTATTTTTCCTTGTTAGACTCTGATGTATAGAGACACTAGATCTTCCCTTCTGTAGTTTGTGATTCACGATGTTCCGAATTTTGGGATTTGTTGTGTATTTTTGTATAGTTGGTTAAATTATATTTTTATTTTATTATTTCGCAAAATATTAGGCTTACCTAGTTGCAGAGACTAGGTGTCATCATGACGTCACACGGAGGGGAAATTAGGCCGTGACAATACGCATGTTTGAATTGCTCAAAAAATCACTTCCATGATGCGTTATTTTCTGAATCAACAACAGCGTATGCCAGTGGTAATATGCTACCTATCACATGTGGCAAAAAGAAATTCAATTTCCATAATAAAACTGGAGATAAAAAAAATACATACTAAAAAACAAAATTACAACAATATTTCTACAATTAATCTACAATACATGTTGCATCCATTGTGCTAGTTGTTAACATTATTCCCATGTATGCCGACTTCAAGAAGGTCCCGTCAACTACTACAATTGGCCTACAATACTCCCAACCCTTGATGGACGTACTAAGCGTAACAAATGCGTACAAGAAACAGTCATCGTCAGTCTTCTGTAATTTAACTACCGACCCCAGATAAGTCTTCTCCAGAATATACAAATAACTTGGCAAGCGACTGTAGGAATCAGCAGGATGACCTCTCAAAAATTTTAAAGCTTTTTCCTTTGCTCTCCAAGCTTACATGTATGTTAAGTTCACATCGTGTTCCGACAACATATCAGTTTGTATGTCTTTTGGTGTGTAAATTATCTTAGGATCCACATATTTTGGTATAACCATGCTACCAACTACCGTGGCAGTAGGTTTGCGTTGTATGTATGTATTGTCCATCAAAGAGTATGTGTGCAAGCTGTTGAATTTTCGAACCTTGAACAATTCTGAATCATTATGCTGGTGGACTTGAAGTGCCATGTACAATTGTCCCCAATACATACCAGGCAGTAGGTACAGAATAAAAATAATTTAAAGAATATTATGAAAATGTAGCTACAAAATAATAGGCTGTTTAAGCATAAAAATCTTATATTTAACAATTTATATACAAAAAAACTACAAATTATATACAATTTGTATACAATGATATTACAAACTATACAAAAAAAATACAAAGAAACTACAAATTAAACAAAAATATGATGTTGACAATTGAACTATTTCTACCTTCTTGCGCTAGACCTTTTCACCCTAAATTGGAACTTGTTCATGATAGAATAGTGCTTCATTGCACTGGCAATTGTTTGCTTGTCTTTGTAGACTTGGCCTACTTCAATAACATTTGGCGTATCTGTTATGATGATACTTTCATATTCCACTATCGCCGGAGATGTTGGCATATCAATCAACTTCAGTGTTTCAGATGAACCTGCACTCAATTAAAGCTTACTACAGTTCAGACATACATTGTAGATAGTTTATAGTAAAATTGTAGAACACGTGAAATTCAATACTTCAATATTCATAACAGTTGAACTACACTTGTTATGTAGTATTTTTGCATCTATATTGTAGAAAAATTGTAGAACACATGAAATATAAAAAAACATCACCACTGAAATAATAGAGCAAACCTGCAATTGTGTTCGAATTAGAGATACTGCATTTCAAATCAAAATCAATCACTGTTATACATAGCGGATACCTTCCTAAGCTTTTGTTTTCCTTTTTCGTCTCCATGTATACTCGAACTCCCATATCATTCTGAATTTTCATTGGAGGACAATGTTCGTTGACAATGAATTTGATTTCGATAATTTTTTCTGATGTATCGATCATTATTTGCTCTGCAATTGCAGAATTCAATTGACTATAATTTGAATCATCGCTGACTATAATTCCGTCAACACTAAAATCTCTGTATCTCCCAAAGCTATCCCAATTACCATTTAGCTGAAGCATAATAACTATTTTTGACATTATGTCGCAGAATTCAACACAATTATAGATAATTGTTTGTAATTTCTTTTTCAAAACCTTCGCTTATGATTGTGACACCAGAGGAGACAGAGAAAATCAGAGTATCGGCGATGATAAACTGAGAAAATCAGCGTAATAGCAGGCTTAATTCAATTGCGATGATTGTGTCGCAAAATTCTCGAAAAAATCCTACGCGATCCCAAAATTCCTCCTCTAAAAAAGGAAGGCTACTACAGAAAGGATTCTAGTTTAAATAAATGTATATAATTTGTAGACAAAATGTGTTTAGACCGGGTAATTAAGTAAACATGGATATTTTTGATAATAAAGTTTCATATAGTGTTTAAGAATGAAAAAATGTCTTTCTATTTTCTACCTAAGCAATTTTACATTCGTGATCATGTTAGGCGAAAAGTAATATTAAAAAAATAATTTTTGAGCTTAAAAATAATGAAAATTTAACCTAAATAGCATCCCACTTAATTACTTAATTTAAAAATAGCCGGTGAATATATAATATATATAATTATGTATAATCGATGTATAAATTATATATATTGGTTAGGAAATGTAAGCAGTGAAACATGCTATTTGTGTAAAGATCCCCTTAAAAATCTCTTTCATTTTAGAGAAATTTTCATAAAGACTATAGTTTAGAGCCTAGTAACTATAGTTTGTTTAATTACCATTTGTAGCTATTGTTCAATTGTTACCAGCTTGTATCACTTGTATTCAAACACGCAACGATTACAACATGTGTCAATTGTATTCGTTCGCGCAACGAAGACAACATATATAAATTGTATTCGTTCGCGTAACAAATACAATATGTATCAATTGTAACCAAGGCGAAATACAAGGATGTATATAAGGGATACAACATATATCGACTGTATTTGTTCATGCAATGAATACAATCACGGCGAAATATAGAAATACAGAAAATAAAATGCTCTTGTTGAGAGTCGAACTCAAGACCTCTGCTAACTAAGCGGACACTTTAACCAACTTAGTTGTGAGAGCTTGTTGCTCTCTTGCTTCAGTTCAAAACAAATTAATCTCATGTTTTATGAATTTGCTATAAGATTTAAACATAGTTACGAATGATCAATTTGCTGAAAGTATAGCTACGAATAAAAAATATATATGTATTTTTGACGTGTCGCGTAATTTTACTTGTAAAGCTGTATTAAACCCAATTTACAAAAGGGATCTTTACACAAATAGCCGGTCATATTCACTTTTTACCTTTTCTAGCCATATACATGGATTATACATTGATTATACATAATTATACACATATAATATATAAAGTATTCATGTATTATATCTTTACCGACTATTTTTAGTTTAAACGGTTTAGTGGGCGGCTATTTGGGTTAATTCTTCTTTACAAAATCCAGACCAATTCGTTATATGAGCCCAATATTCTCCGTGGAAAGTTGGCCCTCAAAGATTGGATTATGGCTGAGTATTTGTGTAAATATCCATATTGGAAAAGCCCAGAGTTTTTTACGCGCAATAACGAAAAGCGTGCCGCCATTTACTTAACGACTAAGCTACGTGTCACCGTCAGATGTACGCCAACTCGCAAATATATATATATCCATTTTCTTCATCTTTGGTTTATACTCTTTCCAAATAAAGCAAATCAAATTCCCCATTCCCGATTTATCTTTTCCACTTTTCCCCGCTTCTGAATTTCAATTTTTGTGATTCCTTTCTTTCTCTCCTTAAAAGAAATTCAAAATCTACTTTTCCAGCGATCATTTGCTCGGAACACCGTGATCATGGGAGCTTCTCACAGTCGTGAAGGTCTAGAACTTTCCGATGATTCAGATTACGATGACGACGAGGAAAGCACCAAAACGGAAAGTGAAGAACAGTACGAAGACGCCGCCGACGATCACGCTTCAACGAGGACTCCGCCGGTGAGTAGCAAAACCCTAGACGAAGTCGATTCTAAACTCAAAGCACTAAAACTTAAGTACGGTTCAGCTGAAACACCGTCTAATCTAAAAAACGCCGTTAGATTGTACTTGCATGTCGGCGGTAACACGCCGAAAGCCAAATGGATAACCTCTCAGAAGCTAGCGTACTATGAATTTGTTAAAACATTGAAAATCGACGGTGATGATGAAGATGATGATTACGAATTGTCAAGTCGAGAGGGGTTTTGGGTTCTGAATGTGGGGAAGAAAATTAGGGCTAAGGTTTCGACTGATATGCAGTTGAAAATGTTTGGAGATCAGAGGAGGGTTGATTTTGTGGATAAAGGAGTGTGGGCTTTGAAATTCTTTGTGGATGATGAGTATAGGGGTTTTATTAGTAAGTTTCAAGATTGTTTGTTTGAGAATGTGTATGGAATGGAGGCTACAGAGGCAAATAAAGTGAAGATTTACGGAAAGGAATTTGTTGGATGGTTAAGACCTGAGGAATCAGATGATGCAATGTGGGAAGATGCAGATTCTGGAGTGTGGAAGGGTAGTGGGAAGAGTCCCATGACGCCGGTGAGGGATAGCCAAGATTTGCTGGAGGAGTTTGAGGAAGCTGCTACTGGTGGAGGAATTCAGAGTCTGGCATTAGGGGCTTTGGATAATAGTTTTCTTGTGAATGATTCAGGGGTGCAAGTTGTGAAAAATTTCAGCCATGGGATCCATGGGAAAGGTGTTTATGTGAAATTTGATGAAAAGGATAAGAGGGGAAGTTCAACCCCAAAAAAGGCTCTTTTGATGCGTGGAGAAACTAATATGATGCTAATGAGCCCTTTTAAGGAAGGGAAGCCTCGATCTACGGGGCTTCACCAATTGGATATTGAGACCGGGAAGATTGTCACTGAATGGAAGTTTGAGAAGGACGGGACTGATATTACCATGAAGGATATAACAAATGATACAAAAGGGTCACAGTTGGATCCTTCTGAATCGACATTTTTGGGCTTGGATGATAACCGGCTGTGTCAGTGGGACATGCGTGATAAGAAAGGAATTGTTCAGACATTAGCCAATACAAGTTCTCCTGTTTTGCATTGGACACAAGGGCATCAGTTCTCTAGAGGGACAAATTTTCAATGCTTTGCCACGACTGGTGATGGCTCCATTGTAGTTGGATCACTTGATGGGAAGATTCGTTTGTACTCGAAGACCTCGATGAGGCAAGCAAAGACTGCATTCCCTGGGCTTGGCTCTCCGATTACACATGTTGATGTTACTTATGATGGCAAATGGATACTTGGCACGACAGATACATATTTGATCTTGATATGCAGTTTGTTTACTGATAAGGATGGGAAGACCAAAACGGGTTTTACTGGTCGAATGGGAAATAAAATCCCTGCCCCAAGATTTTTAAAGCTGACTCCAGTTGATGCGCATATGGCTGGGGCAAATAACAAGTTCCATGGTGGCCATTTCTCATGGGTAAGCATGCTTAATTTATTTAGCTGCTTAACATATAAGTACTCTATAGGTAATTGCTATTGTCATGTTACTTGTTTGTTGAAGGGGCATTACATTGTTAACTCCATGAAAGCTGTCCGTTGTGTTGTGAGTTCATATAAGTTGGTTGTTGCTACTTCCGTATAGGCTCTTATGCAACTTTAGTAAATGCAATGACCTTGGACTTTAATGACTTTATTAACAAAAAAAAAAAAAATCCTTGACTGTAATGATTTGTATGGCATACGTAATGACACTTTCGCACTGTTTTTTTTTCCTTGTTTGCCGGAGATCATAAATTATAAGTTTAAAGCTTTACTATAGCTTCTTTTTGTTGCCTCTTGCCATGAAGTTATGGAAGTTTAGCATATGTGATGTCTGCAACCTGCTTTTCTCCATACCTTGGAGGTTACCGCATCCATGATGGTTGCTCATTTCCTTGTATACTATATGTAGCTTCTTCGAAATATGATTTCCTAATCAGCTTTTCTCACCTCAGATTCCACTATGCTGCAATTTAAATCTCGATCCTTTTAGTCATCAGCCTCGATTTATTCTTTATAGTGGCAGTAATCCTTCTTTTCTTTATTTATTGACCAAATTATCTGTTCTGAATGAACCAGATGTTTAAAAGTTTCCTGCAACAAAACAGTTATATCTCTTTCTCAGGATGATTAACCAATGGGAAATATTCTGAAACTTAATGCCTCTATCGTAGGAGTGCTAAAAAATTTTAATTCTTGGTTGGTGAAAAATAGTATTTCTCCAATAAAAGCTTATATATTCAAGATGAGAACTCCAATTGGCTGCTGAAACCCTGAAACTAGCAATTTCTGAAATAGCTGACAGTGCAATATCTTCTTTGCTTCCATATTTTGTTAGGCTATGGGATACTTTTTTCTATATTCTGAAGCAGATTTTGGAAGTTGGCAATAGAGTGGTGGACTGTTGCACTTCTTTGTCTTAGCAAGCTTCTCACATTTGTCTATACCACTGGGAGTCCTCCTCTTTAGTTTCCTGCCATCTTTTGTTACCGTCCTGCAGCAGGTCATGGGCATGTAATATGACCTCTACCGCAGCTGTCGATTGACGGAAGTATAACTTGAATTTGACTATTGTTACAACTTGCACCAGATCCACTGAAGATCTGGTTAATGTTTGTTGCATGAGAATTTGTTTGTCCCGCGGCAGGTTTTACCCTTTTATATGTTTTTCCTTCTCTGATGTAGGTCTATACTGTAGTAACTGTGCATGCTTGTGTTTTCTATTCCTCAAGCTGAAAGTAGGTGAATAACCTGACCTGCCTTGTATGTCATTTTCCAGGTTACTGAAAGTGGAAAACAAGAACGCCACTTGGTTGCAGCAGTAGGCAAGTTTAGCGTGATATGGAATTTCCAGCAGGTGAAGGACAGTGCTCACCGTTGCTATCAGAATCAGCAAGGGCTGAAGAGTTGCTATTGTTACAAGATAGTGCCAAAGGATGAGTCAGTTGTTGAGAGTCGTTTCATGCATGACAAATATGCCGTCAGTGACTCACCAGAAGCTCCTTTGGTTGTGGCAACTCCAATGAAAGTTACTTCCATCAGCATGTCTGGCAAGAAGCGGGGGCTGGGAACTAGTTGACCGGTGATTTGATCAATGCGTGCAAGAAAAACTTTCTATTGTGTATGTAGGAAGGTTTGAGTTCATTTTTTTTTTTACGATCCCTGTATTGTTTTATCGTTTATTTGTTTGTGTTTATGTTTTACAAACTGCTTTTTAAACCGCATACTGTAAGTACGAGTGGAATTCTTATGAGTTATGACGTGCAAGATATTGTGTCAGAGAATGTTTGGATGAAGAAGTTTGTGCATATAATTCAAGTCAAATAAATTCAAGCCCTATGATTTTCTGTTGGCATATCAATTCTAGCCTTCCACTGTGCATGAACAGTACAATCTAGAAGGGTCTTTGCACACTTTTACTTGCCAGTGCTCGTAGGTCGAGTTGTGATGCAAGATTAACTTAAGTGTCAAATAAGTAATAAATTCTGGAACAAGTTTTAGAATTGAATCTGGCAGCTAAGTTCTCTTGTCATCCAACTTAAGTTGTTAAGATTACGGTGGCCTATCTTGCACAGGAGGTGATATCAGGTAATTCTTCGCATTTTCTTTTATAATGCCAGATTAGGCATAAAGTGAATTTCACGTATAGCGACTGCACTTTCCTGACTAAACCATACAATTCAAAACTATTTTTGTTACATTACAGTAATCGAACTTTACTCACTGTAGCATAAAGTTATAGAACCATCTCGTCATATTAAAGTAACTTAATTTTTTCTGTTACAACAGTAAAGCCACAAAACTTTACTCATTATTATAACAATAAAGTCCCAAAATTTTACCCATTTAAGAGTAAAATCACCTTGATAGGTAGGTTTTGTTGTCACAGTAGGTAAAGTATTGGACTTTACTATTGTAGTAGATAAAAAACAATTACTTTAACGTGACAAAAGATAATTATATTACTAATACTATAATGGTATATAAGATTTAGTGACTTGACATTTAAAATGAGTAATATTCAATTATTTTAATGTGACGAAAAAATAGTTTTGTGACGCTTAAATTATATGTAATTAAACCATAAGCCATCACTAGTGACTACAGAATCTCTCCGACATTGAACATAAGCCAAACAAAATACAACATCAGAGAATGTTTAACAGGGACCAAATAGCGCCTATGAAGCAATCAGAGTAGCAAAATGGTATTTTCACACAAGGTTCGGGAAGTTATTTCTCAGACAACAGTTTACAAATGAAAAAGATAAAATAAATAGTGCCCTCCCCAGACCCCCACGGTGTGGGATAATACTGGGTATGTTGTTGGCGTAGGCGTGCAATTCTCATAAAGCATCTCGGGCAGCAATTCTGCAGGTGATGGCATCAGCAAGTGATGATATCTCCAGCTCCAGATTAGATATCTTGTAATGCTGTCAAATTTCAAATTATTAATTCATAATGAAAAAGGAAGCATGACCATACTCCTCCAAACCACTTGAAAAGATAGCTATCCACCCACCTTTTGAATCTGAGCTTGGTTTATTCTTTGTTCCAATTCCTTCAAGTCAATCTCCTTGCCCTTTATGAGTTTTTCTATGGCCACCATCTAGTTGCAAAGTAAGAACACATCATTACCGCCAAGAAAAAGAAGTCAATAAATCAACTCGGGTGACATAAACAATGTTGCCTCACCTCATCAACCGAAGCACTAAAGCGTGCTGCAAGGATGTAGCTTGTGTTATCTGCAATGCCACATCTTTTCAAAGATTCTGATATCTACTACGATCAAGCAGAGCTAAAGTCAATGGACCACAAAAGGATAAAATCCACTCAATCATTAGATTTAGCCTTAAATCTACTTACATGCTTAGATCCTGAATAGTTGTAAACAAGCTCAGAGTGGAGGGTCCGTGTAGTCAGTGAATCCCGTGATTTAGCTACAAGTGCCTTGTGTGCAGCTGCCAAAACAGGAAATACTTCTGGAATCTGTTGTAATATGCCCAAAAATGAAATCAGCTTGATATGCACAAAGCAAAAACAAGGGAGCTTTGAATGAGAGAGTGAAGAGTGTACTTACAAGTGATGCATTCAGAAATGCTACTTCTGGCTCCAAAGTTGCTGACTGCATTAAATCCAGTAGTTCTCTGAAAAAGATGGTCACTTAGGTTTATTTTAACTTTAGTCATTAATGTAGTTTTGTATTAAGCATAACTTATTTTTCTGATTCTAATTGTTCGCATTTGCTGATATTATCTTTTACTTCAGTTTAGAACTTAATGAGTATCTTCCCTTTTTGGCAAAGCAAACTTTTCCATGTTGGCACCCAAAAATTGGATCACAGGAAACCTAAGATTGCACAATACACATAGTTTTCAAAGATTTTTCAATAAAACAAAACAGTACAACAATTTCCTTCTAGGCAATACCCCTAAAAATTATACTTCCAGAAGATGCACACTTTTTGTCAACAAATTTTGTCTCTTCTTGTTGCTCTTTTTGATCTGTGAATTAGCTTAGCTCATTGGTGCCAAATAGGCTCAAGGTGGTCAGCTGAATACCCTTCACCAAAAAATTATTTTGTGTATATAGGTCAAATATTACTTCTTATACATATATACCCTTAGCAAACTTCCGGGCTTCACCACTGTTTCTAGATGCCTAATGCCGAGTAGAGTATAGTTTTCAGATAAAACATGAATTAATCCCATGTTGTTTCTAGTGCTGAGTGCAGTCTTTTTTCTTTTAGCTGGGGGGTGGGGGTTTAGGCAGCATTGGGGATAAGTTCTAGTACTTACTGCACATGAAGCTATCAGAAGAAAGCCTGAAAGTGCAACTATGTAGTCTGGTACTTCCTGAAAAGGAAACGCTTGATATTTTGGATACAACTGAATCGGGATATAAGAAAATCTTATGACAGAGTAAAAGTCATGGATCAATTTTTTCCACATCTTCTTTATACTGTTAGGCTTTTGCAAACTAGTGCAGCATAGCTATGTATAGCAACAAGCCTCAGACTAGTGTTACAATTAGTATGACAATTCTAAATGATAAGTCCCTCATTCGACAAAATTGTGTTTATTTTTGTGTCGAAAGATAGAGAAGTTCTCTCCTGAACTTAGCACCGTTCATTCGGTGCACAGTTAGATTAATTTGGTCCTAATTACCCCTGATACTTGGCTATTTGAATGTCTAGACCCCCCAAAGAGCCACCTGGCACAACAAGTGGTTTCAAATGATGAGAGAGTAATTTTAATGCCACATCAGATCATTTCACGGTAATAAAGGCTGAAATTACCATTTTCCTTAAAACTTTTTTTCCGTTCCCAACGGTTATTTCCCTTCTTCCTATTTCTTTTCTCCTTCTTCTATCCTCTTCTTTTTCTTCCATAAAATTTCAGCTCTTACTATTTCTTACCTTCTCATATGCTAAAAGTCCTCGAGGTTCCAATTTCTCCCCAGTAGTACCCTCATTGACTTCGGCTTTACTAATCACTAAATTGGTTTCACTGGAACCCATCGTAACTAGCATTTGCTGCTGTATAAACCAATTTCAAAATGGGATAACTGCTCGATAGGGCATGAGTTCTAGTATCACACGCATTTCCTCATAGGAACATCAATTTTTCTTCGTCTCCTCCTTTTTTATTAGATAACATTTTTTATCCCCATCTTTATCACCTTGACAACATCATGGACTAATGCAAACCCCGAACAAAGATACTTCGATGCAGGCATTATGGCGTATTAAAGTCAGTTGTTTTATGTCTAGAAACTTCAATTTCGGCCTAATTTAGGATTTTTTTTTTTTTCTTGTTGGGTCTCGTTTAGGATTTTGTTTCTGATTTAATTTTTTTGGATTTAGCACAGGCTAGATGTCAGAATTGCTTGTGGACATTTTCGATTTTTCGATAAAGCACATTTACCCCTACATCTTTAAGCCAGTGTGTTAACAGCCAAGCAACTTACATTTAAGCTATAGGGGAAAAACCAAGTAAGGTCTACCATAATTTTTAAAAAGATAGGCCCTTTAGTAATCATTCACAACATAATTACCAACAATTACTCAAAAGATAGGCATACAAAAATGAATTCCAGACTTAATTAGTTGTATAAAGACATCAGAGAGAAAATAACGTACTTAGAATTTGTAACATCGCAGAAAAGGGCAAGACAAAGGGTGGTTCCACCAACTTCGAACGCCTTCATTGCTAACTGAAAACAAAACAAAACAAACTAAAAAAATCATGAAATTCTGGTAGCAGAAATGAGAAGTGAGAAACTTGAGATGCAAAAATAATAGAGAAGGCAACCTTTGTCGTGCCAAACTCAGCTCAAAAGAAGCTAAGAAGAATTCAAGCACGTCGCCAGGGAAAGTGGCGGCGCTGCACTGGTACAGTGTAATCTGGGGTCAAAACTATATTTTAATTTCTACTAAGGTAGATCTTATTCGAGTAATTACACAATGGTCCCTGAATTTTTCGTGTAATACCTTTTTCTTCCCTGATATTTCTTTTCTTTTTCTATCTGATTTCCTCATAATTGATAAGCCAATTCTTTCCCGGATTTTGACATGTCTATAAAAACAAATCCTCAAAGTTCAGTGCTAATCTTATTTTCATACTATAAAAATAAGGATAAATGGAAGAGAAACATACTTTTTTTAATGATCTGATTGAATGGTTGGAAGAAAGGAGGAGTGTTAATTTCATCATGTAAAAGTGTATGAGATTGGACAAGTTTGCTTATGATTCATTAATTAACTCGTTTTAACTCAAAATATTTGTTTCTCTAAATTTTAGTAGAAATATCATCTTAGAAATGCAATAATTAATACCTCATACAAAATTTAACCTTTTTTTGTAAGTCCAACTATATGTTGAATATTTTAGTAAGTCATAGGAAATTCAAATCTGAATTGATCAAAGCTTATAATCTAATAATACCATTTGGAGTTTCTCCTACAATAGACGTGGTTCAATTTCCATTATCTTCTTATTCTTTCAACTTCTTCCATTTATGTTATAGAAAAATTTGCAATAAAAAAGAAGAAAATTTCAATATATTCCTCAAGTATGTATTTACAAGTTAAAAGCTTTTGTTTACGGTTTGTTTGGATGGCTGTTATTCATCGTTTCATAATGTATCGTATGGTACTTATATTATTGTACTGTATCGTTTTGATGTATATAATATTTGGATATATTATTGATTACCTGTAAAATGGTATAGTTGAATTTATATGTGGTTTCTAGACAAGTGAACTAATTTGATCCTGAAATAATGCAATAATTAAAGAAATGTACAATACTTAGCCTTGGAATGTAGATGAAACGACAGAGATGACAGTTCCGGGAACAAGGTTTCCCGGCACAACAATGATGAGATCAAAAAATAAGAAAGTAAGATTGTATTAAGCTTTATATAAAATGTAGTATGTGTTTAGCCAGAAAATTCATGTCCTTTACAATGACCACTTAGCTCACTATTTATAGCTATGTCTCGGGAAGGAGGTCCTAGGATCGTACCCTCCTTTAATGTCAATTATGAGGGTCATTGATGAAGATGTAACGGTAAACACAAATGCCAAATTCTTTGTAACGGACCGTCGCTCTTAATGCGACAGAATATTCCCTATTAAATGCTACCGGGCGCAGAGAATTTAACACACCTTTATGAACGTTATCCTTTCCGGTGACAAGCGAAATGGCTGTGTTCGGCCATCCCCGTCTTAGGTTCCACGTTTTCTCCCTTTAGATGACCACGTGTCATATCATATTTCACCCTATACATATAGTCCCCCTGTTTTTCGGTGACATAACTTTGTGTTACCGAAAAGTTGGTAGAAACACCTTTTTGGCGGGAATTACTATAACTCCCTCTGAAGGTTCCTGACAGTTGATTAGACGCGTGTCTCTCTGCATTTAATACCCCGAACACACGTCATCCCATGATTCAACACAAATTTTGCCGATTATCGAGGTAATCATGGCCATAAACTTAGCCGCCAAAATTTTACTTATACGCAACATTCTTTTCCTTTTGCGTTTCATAATTTCTCGAGCTTCCAATTTGCATCTCTGTTTTCCATCCTCTCTTTAAATCTTTTCAAACTCAAAACCTTTTCCTTCTTCTTTTTCAATGGCTTCTTCCTCCAAGCGTGCTGGTTCTACAAAGAACAAGAACAAAATCGAGGACTCTAATCCTCCAATGGTGGGTTCCATCATCCCAAAAAAACTCGGTACCACAGAAGATCTCGAAGAGAAATTCCCTATTGCTAACCCTCGTACATGGGCTATTAGTAGGTATCCTTCTTCCATTCGTCCTTCCAGTATTCTTGTTGTGAAGGAACACTGTCGCTGCCATGACTTGGATATCATTGCTCCTGATCTATCGGAGCGAGTGACCCTTCCTAAGGAAGATTTTATACACTATTAAATGTATCCTTTTACTTTGGGTGCGTTTTCTATGAGTGAAGAAATTGATTCCGTGATTGCGGAGTTTTGCCTTCGCTACCAAGCGTATTTGGCACAGGTAAGTCCTTCGGTATGGAGGACGGTCGCCTATTTTCGACACCTGTACTAGGAAACTGAAGATGAGCTAACCTTAGCTCATATGATAAATCTCTATTCCCCCAAAATCTTCCGCGGGGGAATAATAAACTTCTGCAAGAGTGGCCACCATGCTTTGCTGTCTAGCATGGATACTGGAAACGACCGTGGGTGGATGAAACGGTTCGTTGCAGTTGCCACCAATGACATCATTCCGACAACAGCTTCATCATTTCCGCCCGCTTGGAACCGCACTCGTAAGCTCTTTGTTTTGTATTTCTTTTTACTAGATATTCTTTTGTGGTCGTATCAACTCTTCACCCTTCACATGTTTCAGCAATTCGATGGATCCTACCGGTGGTGGAAGGTTTGGACCGATGGGTTCAGAGCCCGAAACTCATTTGTGGAAAGAACTGGCCCTTAAATATGGGTGGAAGGCCAAAAATCATGGTAGTTTTAGTTTACCTTGCTTCCATTTTTTTTGTATATGGAGAACTTGGTTGAATCCTTCTGACTTGTTCACGAAATTAGGTCTACCTGCAGGCTCTGTTGCTGTCCCCGAGGAGGACATTTTGGCTGATCCTACTGATGCAGCGAGGCTGCTTCAGGAAGCACTTACTCGAACAGGTATCTCCGGGCCTGTTTCAAGCGCAAATACTTCTTTACGGAGTCCCCGACCGGAGGATAAGCAACCAAAGAGAAGACGTTCCTCCGCGACCGAGGAAAAGAATAAGAGGGCAATGACTGATGCCCCCGAACCATCTCCGGTGGTGATAATGACTGGTCCTCCTTTCGGGCTGGTCATAGACACCGTGATGATTGATGAAGATGAAGAAGCTAGCGATGAGGGAGCTTCTCTACATAGAGGGCGATGATCATCATCATCTCAACAGGATTCTCGACCTGTTGAGATAGTTACACCAACTGGAGACGATGTCTCGGCACTTTGGGGAGAGTATGATTTGGTAGAAAATGCCAACTCCTATTTTCGGGCCCCAATTGTTGTAGCCGATGCTGCGGGACTGAGTACCGGGTCCCTGCCGTCTTTGGTTGGCGAGCATCCAACATCCAGCACTGCATTTGATGTAGCTGCTTCTCATTCTTCAACTTTATCATCTTCATCTCCACCTTCACCAACACCAGCAACTGCTACATCACTTCCATCTTCAACCACTCTTCCACCAACAGTTGCTACATCACCTCCATCAGTCGCATCTGACCATGAAGAAGGCGTTCCTCTTCTACAGTCCCTAGTTCATGGGAATTTGGGGCAAAATTATGCTGCTCCTTCTGAAGATCCACAAAGTAGGAGGAATGTTATTCTTTCAGTCTCTACCGGATGTAACTTGTTATCCCGGTCGGTAGAGCTTGCTAATTATCTGAAGCTTTTGGCTTTAGAAAAAGACTGGAAAAAGATTCGGGCACTCTTGGGAGAATGCTTGTCGAACAATGCTATGCACAATGCCGCAGCGGTACGTTCTTTTCTTCCTTCATTATTCTTCTACTTTTGTTTGAATGTATTCTAATTTTCACTTCTTCTTATTTTGTAGGCCAACTTTCTTGCTTCTGAGGGACTTCAAAGGTTGATTCGTGAAAAGGAAGAACTTACTTTTGAATGGAATCAGCTTTTGGTGGAACGAGACCAAACTGTTCTCCACCGCTCGGAACTGGAAAGCAAAGCTACTAAGGCCGTTGTTTTGGAGGCTCGCTTGCAGCGGAGCGAGCAAGAATGGTAACCCTTATCTAAGAAATTGGCCCGCTGAGGGTTAGATTTGATGAGGCTAAGTTCAAATGGGCTGAAGTCTAGGACGCCGTTCTTGCTGCAACCGAGCGCTAGGCTGCTATTGCCGAAAAAGTAACTAACTTAAAAGGAGCCTTGAACTCCAAAATCGAATCGCTTGCTACTGTGGGGGCGAAACAAGCCCAGCTAGAGGAGAAGTACAAGAAAACTATCGAGCATAATAGGCTTTTTAGTTCAACTATCTGCTACCTTGACGTCAGCCTCAAATCTGCTAGGTCCGTCAGGGAAAGCCTTTCTGCCGAGGTTACCCGACTCAAAGAAGAACTTAAGTGCCGAGCGACTTCCTTCGTTATCGAAAAAACTTACTCCATGTATAGCATGAGGAGAAAAACCTTGGATGAGGCCAAAACTAGTATCATCGACTTTGATGCCGAAATTGCTAAGGCCCGAGAGCTTGAGTTAGCTGCCAAAAATGGACTCCCGGCGTAGTCTGATGCTCCTGGTTCTTCTGGTTTCGGTTCTGAGTTTTTGGAAACTAAAGAGAGATCAAAAGGTGACGATGCTGAAGACCAAACTGGGGAAAACGTCGAGCCATCGGTGGACCCACCTACTTCTCCCGGGAATGCAGACACTTCTCTTCCTCCTGGTTCCGGAGGCGCTGCAGTTTAGCTTTTATTTTCTTTTTCTCATTTTAAACTTTTACCGTTTTGGCATGTTCTTGTAAATACAAACATATTTTTGCTCAAGTATCGTTTGAGTCTTACTTTCATTTGAATATCTATGCAAGTTTTTAATCTTTGCATTTGCTCAAGAGTTCAGCGCATATTTTCCTGTTCGCGCTTTACTATGTGTAGTCTCGAATGTGTTTTCCTCGAAGCACTTTGGTTCCGAGCATTATCCCTTTTATGTGAGAGTTTATAAGTATTTGTGCAAGTTTACTTTTTGCGTCCTTTTCATACGTGGCTTTGGGTGTATTATTCCCCGAAGGCATTTTTGATTCCGGACATAGATTTTTCCGGAACCAACCCTTTAGCATGAGGGTTTTTATAAGAGAGGACCCTCTTATGTTTACGGTGCTCTTGAAGAGGACGTCTCCTGTTCATTACGGCACTAACATTTGAAGTACTTGTTTAAC